CCCCAAAACCCCAAAACCCCAAAACCCCAAAACCCCAGGTTGGTGAAGCTGAATTGAATAGTTATATTTAAGGAGTTATTTATGAACATTTGTAGTTTTTATGACTTTTCTTTCGTAATGGGTACACTAGATTGCTTCTGGTCAAACTATAACAAGTTAGATTGTATCGAACTTACGTTCTCAGTCGAGACACGAGGGCTGGCATCAAGGATCTCCTTGAAGTTCCTCTTAAGTGCACTCTTCTTGATTGGATAAGGAATTTTCACCTTTCGTTGTCCAAGAGCAGCGATCAGACTGGACGCTGTTGACTTGTGCTGCAATGAAACCTTCTCTGACCCTCTTCTGAATTCAGAACAATTAACCGGTTCTTCAGTGTTTTGGATAATATTCGACTTCTTAACTTTTGGTTTGTTGGAAATCTTCGAATATAAATACGCAGTAGTGTGATTTTGAGCTCTGGTCATTTCCTTGCTCTTTGAGGTAGGAATCGTACCAGGGATGTCAAAATTTATTTTACTCTTGATCTCCAAAGGCGGAAGATCCGACCTAGGTCGGACATTTGAGATATCAGTGAAGTTTTCAGTCTCGGTGATTGGAGTGATCCTCTTCTTAGAAGCGGGAATTGGGCTTTGAGGCACGATTTTTCTTTGCTTGTTAATCTGGTACTGGAGGTTACTGAATCCAGATTTATTCATAGCTGAGTTATGGTGCTGGTACTCTGTTGAGTCTGGTCGAGAGATGCTGCCCATAGGTACTGAGAGAGGAGTTGTGATATTCAGATTTTCACGCATTTTGGAATTTTCATGCTGTGAAATATACCCTTTTGATACTGCTCGAGCGTCATTAATTTTCGACGATTCCCTGCGGACGCTTCGGCAAGCCTTTCGAGAGGATAGCTTGCTATTTTTCCGATCTCGAGGGACTGTCTCTTCTTCATCCAAATCAAACTTGAGAGAATCTATTTCGCTTCTTAATTTAGGACTTCGCCTAGAGTTTGAAATTATCGAGTTAGTAGTTGACCCTGGGATGTATTCATGGCGGACTGAGGAAGTTTCACTCACTTGGTCCATCATATTTTTGAAACTTTCTACATAGTTATTGATGCTAAATACCAAAATTTGTATCATTCTTAATGGTCTCGTTCCAATCTGGTTCAGCCATACTAGAATAGAGGTAGTTTAGGATCTGAGACAACACTCTTTTCTTACTCAGAGGCATTGATACTTCAGGGTTTTGGTTATGAAGCATAAGGGAAGTGCTGGATAGCTTGGTCAAAGCCCTGAGTCACTCCCTTTGCGTTTTGGCATCTTTACGAGTCTTTCATACTGAGAGTAACTTTGACAATAAGTCTTCGTTGAGGGTATTCAGGCTTACATCCAGAGTCTCGCTGATGTCGATCACTCGGATCAGGCTGAACAGCATGGCAGCATACGGACAGGATTGCAGTGAGATGATAACTTTGGATAGCTTTTCATTTGTTTTTGATATCTCTTTGGCCATTTTTAGATTGTAGGCACTCTCGTTTTTAAGAAAGGCCGATCAGAAATGAGTGAGATTAAGTACATCCTCAAGTATTTTCGGCATAATTTGGGTTAAGCTATCCCAGAAAGCAATCAAGGCTCCATTGGTAGCGAGCAGCTCCACAATTTTGATAGTCTCCCACAGAATTTCCCAATTGTGGGACCTATGATTAAGACTCTGGCTTACTGAAGGTTTTGGTACATCTCATTCATGATTTCTTCAAAAGTGAAATACTGGCTGGAATTCAAGGACTGAACTCCTTTGGTGTGAATAAGAAATTGGAAAATTTGGTAAAACACCTTTGCTCTTGTTAGCCTGGCAGATTCCAGGGTGTTCTCATGATCGGTTATCTCTGGTGAGAGGCTTAATAAAGTTCCTATGGAGGATAAATTTTCTAGCTTCTTTGTAAGTTAGAAACCATTTTAAACCATGAAATATAAAAACAAGAGAGGGTCTGCTTACTGACAACTTGGTCGATATCGCCCATATTGATAGGGTTCATCCCCGGCTGGATTGGTTGGGGGCTTAGGTATTGATCTGGCTTATCCATTATTCTTTTATAATAATACAATTATTCATAAGCTTAAGGGGTTTTGGGGTTTTGGGGTTTTGGGGTTTTGGGG